GCAAAACATTTTAGATTTTCTCTTATTCAGAACAGAACAAGAATAAAAATGAGTCTGGTTTCTCTCTAGTTTTTTTCCCTTTACTTTCGTCAATCAGTTAAGTTTGTTCCTCGCCACTGTCACCACTGGCCTGCTTGGTTTGGGACTTGAGGAGCTGCGCATCAATGGATTTGCTCTTCAGTGTTTGGACTTACAGCAGTAAAAAATAAATCACACTGAACTGAACATCAACTCTGAAAACTGGACTGATTTTAATTTACTAGAACTTCTTTGTTGAGCTGCTTTGACACGGCCTACATTTTAAAAGCGCCATAGACATAAACTTGAATTGAACTGAATAAGTACAAGTACAACGAAGTAAATAAGTACACTGTAAAAAAAAATTGCTGTAGATTTAACAGCATAACTGGCCATTTTGGCTTCCAGTAATACAGTAAAATTTTCAAGTCCATTGTAAATTAGCAATTGCAGTTGTACTGTATTTTGTAATCATCATTTCACAGGGCGTTTACAAATTTTACAGTATCGCTGTCAATTTTTACAATAATACTGTCAAAATAAAATTAGCAATTATAAATGTGCTGTAAAATGAAAGCACAATTGTAATATTAATTTACATTGCACTTGTAAATTTTGCAGTATTAGTGGCAACCAAATTGGAAGTAATACTGTAAATTTTACAGCAATTTTTTATAGTGTAGCTATGAATTGAGAATGCAAAACTAAAAGTGAAACATGCTCATTCAGTACAAATACAAATGTTGCTATATTTAAGACGTATCTACAGTGTGGGGGAGGGGAGGGAATGAGAAGTATAACTTTATGTTTTTTTATTTTATTAGTATTTTTTTAATTCTGGGTAAAATTTTTCAAAGGAGCTGTTAATTGGACATGGAATTGAACCAGATGTTGATAAAATTTAACAAAAATAATTCTGAAAAAAAACACGGTGTATAATAACAATGAAATGACACAAAGATAAAGTACTGAACTACTGAAATGTATTTAATACTTTAATAATAAAAGCTTTTTTGATAATGGCAGCTTAAAGATGCCTCTCATATGGAGAATGAAGTCACATACATTGGTTAGGTGTGAGTTTTTCACAGACTTCTACAGAGTGTAAAACTCTTGATGGTTCTGTGGGTCTCGTCTATCGAACCTGAGCTTTATTTTGTATTTTCTATTAAATTGAAGTCAGGTGATCAGTTGGGCCATTCTACAGTTTGATTTTCTTTCTCTCAAACCATTTGAGAGTTTCCTTGGCTGTGTTTTGGATCTTTATCTTGCTAAAAATGTCTTCATCACCCAGCTAATGTAGATGTTGGACTGCAGCTGATATTAATTTACTATCAACTGCTGTCTGGGCTTATACTGCCTTTCTACACCTCCCTTTTTTCACGTGTTCAATACTTTTTTCCTGTGTCACTTAATTTTATTACACATGACTTAATTTTGTAATATTGTTTTATTTGCATATATGGATTTTTTGATTGTTACCAACATCTGGTGAAAATTTTAAGTCAACAGAACCATTATAAATAGGTTGAGAAAATGGTGACGTGTTGAATACATTTTTCCCCCACTGTACATAAAATGCCATCCTTTGCATAGACAAAATTGTGTTTGGCTGCAAAGTCTTATGTTCGCACAGATTTGTTGGTAAACAGTAAAGATAAGTTAAAATGCAGTTTTTTGTCTGTTTAATTATGGCCAGTCTTGAAAAGAACAAACAAAGATGGAGTGTGGAACAAAGTTGCTGTCACACTGCTTTCTTCTGTGGTTCTGGTTCTATTTGTTCATGACAATGCAGGTCTGTGCCTCAAATTTTCTGACACTGTCAGAATTTCATTAAAGAAAAAATTGGATTGCAGTGGCCATTAATCACCTGCTGGGGAACATTTCAAACTAGTGATCAGAGACTGCAGATTTTGGCCTAGGATTAAAGGAATCTTTTGGGATTTGGAAAATTGGTCGCAGGCGGCTGAAGTGGCCAGAATATAACAGTGTACACCTGTTTAAACATTTGACAGTTTAACTCTCTGTAGAAGTTTTGTTAAAGCCCTGCTGTTGCCATACTAGAGTTTTAAAGCCTGACTAAGGTTTACACCTAATTAGAGATACATCACAATGAAAATAATGTTATTAAAAGCTACAGACCAATTCCAATACACTTGAGTAAATAGATTAATAGCTCAGATTGTAATCAATTATTTAATTTTAACAGTACTGTAATTGTGTTATACAGTACTTTTCAATGTAGGCTAACAAGTCCACTAGATCTCAAGAACCGAACCACACCAGGAAAATAACCTACCAACTGAATTAATAAAGAAGCAATAATTCTATTAAACAGAAATAAAATTGAATTAAAGCTACAAGCAGCGATGAAAGAGACCTCGCACGCAGTGGCGTTAATATGACAAAGAATAGTGAACAATAATAATTTAAACTGATTAATATAAATAAAACCTGTGAAAAAATCACTGATTTACACCAAACTTCATTCTGTCAGCAGTTGGAGCTATGCCTGTAATGGTGTATTGGCATGAAGATGTCTTCAGGAGAGGAATCTCATTTAACCTGTGAATTTTCAGGCATTGTGTGGCTGAGTTACCAGTGCTTTCTCCTCCATGGTGATAAACTGAACTTTTTCAGTCAGCCACAGCATGCCCTTTGACGAAAACTCTTGATCTTCGCAATTTAGTATTACGAATGTCTTCGAATTATACTGACAAAACTTGTATTCAATCTGATAAAACTTGTGGAAAGAGTTTGATACACTACAAAACATGTCATTTCTTGTTGTCAGCAGGTGGCGCTATGACTGTATCTGGATATTGGCACGTAAACGTGTTCAGGACAGGACTCTGAATTTTAAGGCAGATCGGACAATGCAGGCTTGAGGTATAACAACTTCCTGTTTCGCCGAACTGCAAAGATTGCAAAGTTTTTCACAATTTCCTTTTTTTAATTTTTAGCAGAATTAAGAAACTAATTAAAGATTTTAACAGACATAATTTTCAATTTTGGTTTGGTTTTAACTATCCACTTAAACATCTACACACGCTCATGTCTAAGATGGTTTTTGAAAGTTGTTTAAAAAATATTTTAAAGCAAACATATGGACAAGAGGAGCCACGTTAGATCAAAAAGATTATGAATCAACATAGTTGTCTAAAACTAACAACTGGTTTTATTTGTTAGGTATTTTATGTCTTATATATTGTATTTGAATCACAATGGTGTATAAAGCTGATAACAACCATTTATTTCAAGCTAATATGGACCCATGTCTTTTTCCGTGTTTTTTTCTCTCTTTTTGTCTGCAGGCATGTGTGATGTGATAAACTCAAACCTGCAGCAGGACTTGAAAAGCTCCCTGTACATCTCCTTTCCTCTCCAGCAGGTAGGCTGTGGCCTCATGCAGCTTGTGTTTCTCTGTGATCTGTGATTAGACAAGACAAAGATAAGACTGTCAATTGTGTTGCAGTCAAATTGTCAAGATTACCAAGACAAATGATCCACTCCAAGCCGCCCACTGGATGAACAGAAAAAGTGCGTTTAGGTGAGACTGTTCGTTTCGGAGAAAACATTTCCATAATGAAACATTCAAACGCATTCTGAAACTGAATGGTTATGCGGAAAGCAGAAAAACACAAACTGGCATCCATGAATATACTTGAATCCATGAATACAAAAACAGTGCAAGTGAGAGAAGGCATAGAGGGGGGGAAAAAGGCAATACAGACTGACAGTAACAAGCAGACAGGTCTAGAAAGGGAGACGTATATACAAAGAGCAGTGAAACAGCAATAAGGTGAGCTAGCAGGACTTTAGAGATGCTGTACACATGCATGTGCATGCGCAAGGTGTCTGTTCAAATATTTAGCAGGTGCCACTCTGCCTCTGTAAGGGTATTGATTCTCTCTTCTGGCTGGCTGTCTGTCTCAGCATAAAACTGCCCTGCCTTCATTATTCATTCATTCATTCATTCCAGAAATCTCTCTGCCTGAGCCTGTAAGCCGGAACTTTAATTGGATCAGATTGGAAACCTTTACTTGGTTTCATGATGACTGATTAGATATGGTCTAGCTCTCAACGTGTACTGCAAAACACACAGTTTAGGGGGTTAATTAGATAATCATCTGTATTTCAGTGCAAAAACTTTGTCTTACGCTCTAATCATATACAATCTAGCTTAAATAGGTGCTAAATGAGGTGGTGAAGTAAATCTCAATCTTTTGAGCATAAACATCCCTTCTTGATATGTAAATTAGCCTCATTAAAGATTGTGCTTAATAGATAAACTTATTCAAAAGCCATTAGCATCACTCTATTTAAAGGAGAGCTCACCCCAAAAAAATACACCCTCATGTCATTCCAAACCATTTTTTGCTCAACTTTTGAACATAAATTAAGATGCTAAATCCAAGAGCTCCTTCATTCTCTAAAGACAGAAATGGTCCAAGAAGGGTACTAAAAAACATATTCAAAACAGTCCAAGTGTCTACAGTGGTTCAGTCTGAATATTTTCAAGCTGCAAGAAAACTTTTGTGAGCACATACCGTTAAACATAATTAATGACTTAATTAAACTGTTTCTTTTCCTCAGGTTCAGTAAAGGGCACACGTTCATTCACTGTGCACTGATGTATACTCCAGATGCCTTTCTGAAAGAAGCAAAGCATGAGCGCATCCAAGGTATATGTCAACAATGTATACACACATAAAGAGCTTGCAAATATTCAAACTGAACCACTGAAGGTGATGTTTTTTGGTGTTTTTCAAAAGAGTTCTGATTGAGTAGGGACCAATACTGTCTATAGAGGATGAGGGAGCTCTAAGATTTCAGAACCCTGAAGTTACTCAGTCAAGAATAAATGAAAGTCTGAATGGACATCAAGAGAATGACATAAAGGCAAGTAATTAAATTACATTTTTGGTGAACTCACCAATTGTCGGCTAAAGGATGTCACTGCATAGATGAATATATTTGAAACGTTTTGCAAATTTTAAATGGTAAAATACTAAACACTTTCTGTAACTCTAGAATAACTGTAAAATGTTAGCTTTACTACAGAACAGTCCATAACATTACTGTGATTTTGCACGTTTAATTATAGTTTTCTTTTCTTCCAAGAAATAGAAATAATGGGTAATTATGTTTAAATTACTTATTATTTTATTACTTATTATCAGCGTGCATTTAAAAAACAATACATGCGTTGTTTTGCAATTACTTATGTGAATTTAAATTGTCTCAAAACAAAAGGCATTAGTAAATTGTGATTTATGACAAGAGAAAGCAGATTTGAATTTAGCAGCTGATCACATGATGCAATAAACATTCTAATCGCACAAGTGAGACTTGTAAAAGCAGTACCACATTCACAGTTTGTCGTTATGAGCTGTTTAATCTTGCTTCCAATTACTCAGACAGCCATTCAAGCCTGTCACATACATGATAAAATCCTGGAGTCTGTTCTTCGTATCTGATTTAAATGATCTAAGATGATTTTGCAGATCCTGGGTTTTTATCACTGGCTAATTTGGTTCTTTAAACAAGTTCGTGAATAAAATTAAAATGTTTGGATGAACTTATCTGAGACCGCTGCGTGTGGTGTGTTAAACAGATCTATCAGTCCACGAAATCATGAACTGCAATGCAACGATTGGCTGATGAGGATGATAAGGATGATAAGGATGTCATCTGATAATTATTCAATTGTCCATGTGAGAAAAATTATATCAAATGTGTAAACTGTTTGTTAAATATGATACACAATAACTTTTCACATTTGTAATGGGCTGCAGGCTTTACTCTTTCATAGGTCTAGGTCTATTTAAGTTTCTTAATAAATAGTTGTTCAAATTAATTTTGTATCATAAAAGCATTTTGATATTGGTAAAGGTGTCTGCAACCTATGTGAAGCATATCATATGTCAATATGTGCATGACTTTATAAATTATTATTCCTTCCTTTGAAAAAAAAAGAGAATATTGGCCATGTCCATTATCATACACAAATTGTCACCTTGTAATTATAAGGTTCTATCTGTGCTCTGAATGATTTTGACATATTGAGCTTTAAAGTGTTTGCATTCCATAGCAAACAGTATGTGTGTAACATTTCTTTTTTAAATAAAAAAAGTCTTAAAATGTAAACAACTAATAAAAAACATCCCATAATGTATATAAGTTGTCATTTAATAAGAATATTTCAATAGCTCAATTTTAAAGAAAAATTCAGATAGAACCTTATAATTCGAAGGTGACGAAATTGTATTTAAGCTGGGTTGGTACCTTAAAATAGTCCACATTTAAATCTAAAAAATCAGTAATAATAAACCTTTCATGTGAACCCTTTGGGGAGAGAACACCCCCGTGACAGTTTTTGCAATTTTGTGTTTTTATAACAGTTTTATTATTTATAATTTTTTAACAACTTCTATTAATATATAAATGTATAGAGTTTTTTTTCTACTATTTTCCCCAGTGTATATAATCTATAGGTTACTACTGTAAAAAATGTCAGCATTCAGTTCATATTTTCAGTATTACCTTTGCTTGAAATGACCCGATCTAATCCTGCTGATATGAAATAAGCCTGCTCCCAAGCAGGATTGAGCTACCAGACCTACTGCTATGACAACAACTCTCGGATGAGTTTTGAAGAATGAAATAATCTCAGATTTGGTTCAGTTATCATTAACCAAATCCAACTAATTGAGTACGCCATGTACGATGAACGGACACCTAGGGGAGAATGTGTTTCTCTTCAGGGAAGTTAAAATACAGAGAAGAGCCTCTCCTCTACTGTCCAGCAGCAGAAGGTGTAAAACATGTTAACCTGCTGAAGCATTAACTGAGATCATTCCTTATGCTAAAGTCCACAGCTCTGCTCCAAGTTGACCCTCAGCAAAAAAATTTACAAATTAATACTTTACATTTTTGGTTTTAGCCCAGTATGTTTATTTCGGTGCATACCTAGTTAAAATACCAATTGTGCTCAAAAATATTGTAAGTGTTGAACACAATGGTGCAAGAATTCAGTAAATAGCTTAACTCTAGGAATAAACTGTAAGTCTTATTCATATACTAGTTGCACTTCACTTGAAGACCTCTGATTGTGTGGGATACAATATGTGTGGTTATTAATGTAATACTAGCCTTAAAGAGTGTTTCAAATCTGTATGGAACACTGGATGTTGAAAAAAACATGGTTGAGGGGATTTAACATAATGACTTGAAAGACAGCTGCCTACATGAAGACAGAAAGCCATTAGGCAGCTCTCTAGCATTAAAACAGTGAATATGTGTGTATTGTATGAGTAACTGATTTATACCTGGATGGTCTCCTCCAGTCTGTAGTCCTGAGACGTCTTAAGAAAGACAATGACCTGCTGAGGACTGAACTGGCACAAAAGATCCACTAAGAGCTCATGAAGATCAGGGCCCAATTTCAGGACTGTTTGAGAATTCAGACCCTCTCTGGAGCTGTGACAGAAAGAGAAAAAGAGTAAATCACATTAAATGAATGAGGTGGGGGTGGAAAGCGGGTTAACACTAAAACTACCAAGGCAGTCGGTCATATTGACAATTTTTACATTTTGCAATGTAATAACTTTAAAAAAAATAATAAAACCCATGTAACTGCAGCACCCTGATTTCTCCTAAATGTACAGTGCTTAGCAAATATGAGTACACCTCTTAAAAAATCTTTAAATTTACATTTCAAAAGGATGCTACTCAATAATGTATTTGTGCATATGCATTAGATTTGTCAGCATGAAACCAAATCTGGAGCTAATATAACAAAAATAATTTATAATAACTCTACAAAAAAATTGTACACTCAAAAGTCTGGGAAGTATATTAAATCAGTGTTTCTCAACTGGTGGGAGTGTGTGGTCAACAAAATAACAAAAGTTTCATTTTTAACTAATTTTGACTTTTATTTTGAAATGCGTGCACGACAACCCTACCGTTTGACATGTGAAATGAAAGTAAGACCCCAAATATGTAAAGTATGTATTTACATATATGAACAGCAAAAAAGACTTAAGCCTTAGTGTGTCATAAGTAGTGAGGTGCTCTTTCATGCAAGAGAGCATGAAACCTTCTAAATTAAAACGACATGTAGAAACCAGACAATATGTTTTTTTAATAGTTTAGTTCATGGTAACTGTAACTAACCACCGTTTACAGTATTTGTCATTTTACTATTTGTGTTTGTTTACAAATAAATACAAATTAATTATAATTTCTAAAATTGTATTATAGTTCCTAAAAATGTGGGTTGTGGCTTGATGACCATGTAAAAATGGGGGTCCCATGGCCAAACAAGTTGAGAACCCCTGTATTAAATTAGCAAGAAGGTTTGGCTTGGTCACTTGACAATTCTTTGTGGAGTTTACATGTTTTCCCCTTGTTGGTGTGAGTTTCCTCCAGGTGCTCCGGTTTCCCCCACAAGTCCAAAGACATGCACTATATGTGAAATGGATGAACTAAATTGGCTGTAGTGAACGTGTGTGAATGAGTGTGTACGGATGTTTCCCAGTGATTAGTTGCAGCTGGAAGGGCATCTGTTGCGTAAAACATATGCTGCATAAATTGGCGGTTCATTCCACTGTGGTGATCCTAGATTAATAAAGGGACTAAGCCTAAAAGAAAATAAATTATTTATCTATATATACACAAGACATTTTGGTGAAAGTTTTGAGTTTGTATTTTTTTCATTTGCAATGTTAAGTTAAATGTACACTATTTCTATTTCAGAATTTGTTTGATACCAATTATCTATTAACAATTATAACAAATATTATCTTAATAAATACAACTGTTTAAAATATCTGTATATTCACCAGTAACTTAATAAAAAATACTAATTTTTAAAATGGGATGTACTAATTTATAATAAACACTGATAGTAAAAAAAAAAAAAAAACTTTTGTAACTAGGTTTGATTGCTTTCTAACCAAATGGAAAAAGGAGGCCGAGAACTTGGTAATGCTGCAGATATTTAATAATAAAATAAACCAAATCATAAGCAGCAGGTGTGGAGCCCAGGTGATGCTCATCAGTGTTCGTGCCACCGGCTTCACTCTGTTCCCATGGCTCTTGGCCACGTCATCCTCCCCTTAACATACCCCTATCATCCTAGTACTTAGTCCCACTTCCCTAACATCTGGTCCTCAAAGGGTGGCCACCAGTAATAGTAAAATATACTGGAAGCCAGATAGAAAGAAGATGAAAAGACATGGAAAAAATAGAATAGAGAGAAGGGAGAGAGGAAAGAAAAGAAAACAACTGGACTTGGTTTTCTAAACTTGGTCCTTAATCAGATGAAAGGCTGTAAGTTGTGTCCTTTTCATTGTCGGAAAGATCATGGTGAAATCTATATTCATTTGACTTCTGATGATAAGTAGTGGCTTCTCCAACAAACAGTAAAGGCTGATTTATACTTTTGTCTAGGCCCACAGCGTGAGCCTCTGCTGACTACTCACGCACAGCGGAGAACAGTGAAGGCTTTTATACTTGACATGCTCACCGTTGTACTATTACAGTACTCTTAACAACAGGGGGCAACTCTGAGTGACTGTCAAGCCGAAACAGTAGTAAAGACGAAGTCAGCGAGTGGAGTTGCAAAATTAATGAATTTACCAATGAATAAATTAATACAAGTTGTAAATAATTTTGAAAGACACTCGAGCAAATGTTTTCTTTTAGTACAGTTAAGGAAATGAGTAACTTAGGCTACATTTTATATACATTTTATATATTTAAGTTAACTTACTTACTTAAACTTACATAAAAAGTCTTGGACAAGCTTTCCACACAATATATGCATTGTTATTCCTCAAAGCTTCAAAAGAAAGGTGGTTAGTTTGGATTTCTAAGGTGTTGCACATATAAATTCCCCCAGCTCGAGTCATGCACCTTTGGATGTGGAGCTGCACTCAGTTACAAAACACCTGCTCTTTCAGCTAGCCAAAATGATGTGATGTGCACCCAAACTGAAAATCTGCCAACATTGCAATGACGTCACATTCACCACGCACATCCACGAGGACTGCCTTGTGTGTACCCATGCATTTATACTTCCACGTGCTGTTTCGCGGCTCTCAGCACTGCCCACACTCATAACAGCTACCCAAACTGACCAATCACAGAGCTTGCTCTACACGTCAAAATAACATGTAGTTAAATTTTTTAAAAGAGGAGCGTTTCAAAAACGCTGCAAAAACTTTATTTATAACATAACATAAAACAAAACAAAAGTTACCATCTGGAGCTCCTATGCAGAATTTGACACTTATAACACTCACTCCATCGGATTGCGGCTCTCCGCACTGCCCACACCCAGCACAGCTACCCAAGCAGACCAATCACAAAGCTTGCACTAAGCATCATAGCGATGTGTAGTTACATTTCTTAAGAGGTGCACGTCATCGATGACGTCAGCCATGGCAAGGGCTATACGACCCCGCGAAGGCCAAGCCGGAACATACGTGTGCACAGAAGAATAAATCAGCCTTTATTCAGCCTTTAAGATTGCAGTCTTGTGTTCTGGGCCCTCCTTAACAGATTGTAGCAGGTTTCAGCGGCATGCCAGATGCCTAGTGGCTTACCCAATTCATTCATTCTGCAGTAGTAAGCCCTGTGTCTCTTGCAGCAGGCTACAGCTGTCAGAAGACAGCATCACTTCCCCAACACTTTAGACTGTCAGCTGCCCCTCCATCTTATAGCAGGCAGGTATATTTCTCCACCAGTCTGGTTGCCTCATAGCTACGCAGTCAGGTCAAGGACAACACTCTTCTTTCTCATCTGGACAGCATGTCCCTCCTTCTTCCAGGTTCCTGGCCTAGTCCTCTCTTGTCTTCCTCTGTTGTCACTCCTCCTTTTATACATCCAGAGCTCCCCTACGTGGGATTAGAGACCAGTGTGGTGCCCAGGTGACACTCATCGGTGCTCGCATCCCAGAGCCTCAGCCTCGCCCCCTCATGACAGGCATGATTAAAAATGACAAAACACAGTTCTGATTGAGTATTTCTCCTATGAACAACAAAACTGACCATATGGATAAAACAGCATTTTTCAGTGCAGATTGTTTTTTTTATATAGCTTTTTTGATTGATAACTGCACAAGATTGTTTTCATTTACTCCACAGCATTACAAAGTCCCAATGTCACAAAATCAAAAGGCACAACAAGTACATTGAGGAAAAAAACATGATGTTTTACTTTCCAAAACTCCCAGTGTTTTTAATCCATGAAATATTCAGTTTTTTCAGCTTTTTGACTTTCAAAAACAACATTTTACTGCAATGAGAAAAAGGTACAGTAGCTCCCCTGTCTGCCAAACACAAAGCAAGGCACAAACCTTTAAGTACAGCAAAAATCCCTAAAATGTAACAATGGACATTTCAATTTCCATTCCTAACCTCAATATTATCATCAAATGTGAATATGTTGACCTGACAGAAATGACATTCAATACATTCTTGTATGAATGGTCAAAACAGATATGGGAATTCTAGTAGTTCCAGTAGAGCTAGTGTTAAAATATTCATGAGGTTATGTTGCAAATACTGTTATGTATTTCATTTCATTCATGCCATGTTTCATTCAGCTGTAAGCATCGCTTGCCAGACATTTCACATACAGCACATAAGAACAGTCTGCTCAAGGCAACATCTTTTGCAAAGACCTTTAACAGTCCTTCAAATGCAACTTTTGTTTATTGATGTTTACTGGATTCAATGTGCCGAGAACAAGATCAACAGCCAGACCAAATTCAAGGACAAACTGGCTTTAAACAAGACAAAAGCATAGAAGTTTAACCGTGGGAACATAATAAGAAACTGACATAGAAAGGCCTGCTTTGATGTGCTAAGGACTCCTCAGTAGTTTTCTGACAGCAATAACGTAACTGACAAGCTAACTACATAAGCAAGAAACAGAAAAAAAAAAGTATTATTTTTGCTGCTGATTTTCATTTTTTGGAGAACAATCTCTTTTTTTATTGATATGGAATTAGGCTTTTTTAAATCAAATGATAGCCTACAACAATATAAGAAACTAAAACTGTTACTATTCACCTTATTCTCTGCCGACGAGCGGGCGCTGCCATTTGAATCTTTTTGGCTTGAGACTTCCGGTCTCATTCACTTCCATTCATTTTTTGACGTTAAAAACTGCTCGTTACGCTGCTTGACGTTGCAATTTGATATTTTCTTATTATATTATTCTACTTGGTCTGTATAGTCATGCTTACATCTGTTTGTAGAGCAAGTAGTTTGACCGTTTTCTGCCGTTTATTATTCCTACTCATTTCTCCCATAGGCGACTGAATCGGAAGTTCTAAGACAATCGCGAAAACAGGCGCACTTCCGCATTTTAGAATAAGGTCAATAGGTGAAGGTCAAAATCTGAAACAAAAGCATCAAGGGTGTGTCCATATTCACTTTTGCTATTTTAAGTACAAAAAATGTGCT